TAATTACAGCTGGGGATATAGCTCAATGGCATAAGCGCCTGCCTAGCAAGTGCAAGTTCCTGTATCTGATTCCCGGTCCTCAAAACAAAACAATTTCACCTATTATTTCCAAGGAACTGCGTTACAAGAAGACAAAAAATGTTCTAGGTAGGCTTAGTCATATCTTAGGCTTTCTTGATTTTTTACGGTGAAACAGAGTCTTCTTTTAGTTCAGTCTTCCTTTGAATTCTTTGTAACTCAGGTTGGCCTTGAACTTCGGGTCCTCTTGCCTCAACTTTCAAGTGCTGCGATTACGCATGCACCCCTGTTGCTGGATGCTTTCTTGTTTTTTGTTTCATTAACAGTGTACAATAATCCCCTATAGTAAGACAGGAACAGTCAAGGATTTCTCAAGTGCAAGAGCTTTTTAAAAATAGCCCAAGGTAGTTTGAATCCTGGAAAATCCATGCTTCAGCTCAGGTAGTATAGGGAAAGGTCTCTCTTCTATCCACGGCTGAATTCAGGGACTCAGATGCTATCAGAGTCCTCATTCCGCTGGGCAGCTCTGTTTTCCACTGTCCTTATTTTCTCCCACTGTAGACAGGTGGCCTTCCAATTCCGAGAGGCGGTGGCCACCATAGTTTGACTTCACTTCATCCCGGCCCAACTCTACCAAATAAGAGGTCACATTTTCGCTGGAAATTCCTTAGACAAGAACTACAATTAGCTCCACCAGGACCAGCTGATTAGAGTAGTAGCTACCCAGAGAGGGATACTGAGCAGATGAATGTCCTGTGAAGTAGTTATAATTTTCATGTACTGTACATATAGAAAAGGAAGTGTACAGAAACGCAGTAAGTTTTCCAAGAACATACTGTTGGTTGGTGAGAAGGGTCAAAGAGATACCCAGGCCTCCTCACCTTAGACAAGTCCCTGGTCTCACCCACATAACCCTGCTAGTTCCTTGAGGTATGCATTTTTCCCAGCATATCAAAATAAAAGCTAGCCACCACAGCTCTTAATGCCATCCTGTCATTCCCCTCCATCTGTCTTTGACGTGTATGTAAATAATTCACATTCAACAAAATATAATCAGGGGGCCTGCCCCTTAGCTCAGTTCTTTAAGTGGCTGCTTCAACAAAGCAGTCAGGCTCAGGTTGCTGTGGTTCCATCCCCACAACTCAAGCCA